CAAGGATGTTTAGTCTTTCGTTACTACTTTTTACGAAATTGCTCCCATTATCTTCCAACTAAATTTACTTCACATTTATTTGTTATGCACAGAAGTACACAAAATCATATATGTTAATAAAGAAATCCTTTACTTTTTTTTGGATGTTCCAATTCCTTAACCAATTCCTGTTTCTCTTTCTTTAACTTTTTAATTTCTGCCTGCTGATCTTCCACTTGATTCTTCAGTTGTCCACTTTCACCAATCAATAATGCAATCTTCTTGTCCAGATCGCTGTCTTCCTTCTGAGCACCTTCCTGAGAAACAAATTAATAACAGCAACGATTATGTGGCGCGCATTTGAAGAAACATTAACTGTTAAGCCTAGAAAAATAAAAAAAAAAATGGCAATAGAAAAAAACGAGTCATAAAAAATTATTAATCTTGAAATCCCCATCACAAAGGTTTTCATTTCAATCCCACAATAGACCGTAAGAAAATACCTAATCTCATTTTAAAAAAACATAGCAAACCTGCTGCATTTTGTATTTCATCTCCTCTGCTTCATTTTTGCCTATTTCTGCTTCATTCCACTGACGATTATTTAGCTTTTCCTTTTCTAATTGCTGCTTTTCTTGTTGAAGAACTCGTCGATCTACTGCAACTTATAATCTTATTTCACATCCCATATTTCTTGCCGCGCCCAAAATAAACAAAAATGTGCTAATGGAAAAAGAAAATCTTATTAATATAGAAAAAATTAAAACCTTCCAGATCTTCTGCAGCCTTTTGAACTCTTTCTTCCATATCCGAATACTTTTTCTCGGTTTCATCACGTTCCATTTGAGCTGCCTTTAACTGTTGCTGCGGAAAGTTAGATTTTTATGAATTTCACTGCGTAAGTGCAAGTATGTCTGTGTAAGTGCAACGAAATATGTAAGTACCAGTAAACTTGTTGTTTTGTTTAGATGTAAAGTAAAACATAAGGAAAATGCATCCTAATGTATTAAAGGTCTATTTACAAGCATATTAATTGTGCAGGAAAAAGAAAAAACGGCGAATATATGCAACTAGACGTCAGCAATACTGAGATGAAGTATAACATTAAAATGAAGTATTGTAATAGAATATAAGTGAAAACAACAGGAAAGCAAAGAACCTGTAAATGCTGATGGATTTTTGAGAGTTCTTGGGTGGAAGCTAATTCGGCAGTCAGAATCTCTTTCTCCGATTCCAGACTCACAATAGTTGCTGTTTTCTGTTCCAAACTTCCATAAAGTTCTTCTATTTCTCTCTCCTTATTCGACAATCTGCAATAACAAGTCAAAGTATACTTTGACTTGTTATTATACTTCGACCTTGTTAGTATACTTTGATTTAATGCGTATACTATGGCACTCAAACAACAGTATGAAAAAGATTGTATACAACAAAGTAACGCCACGGCGAGAGAAAATGACCAACAAAGGAGTTCATAGTAATTGTAAAACGGATCAAAAAACAACATGATTACGCTTATTCCACAATGTAAAATTTGTATATTAAATTGACAGGTGTGTTGTCATGACAGTTTGACACAGTGCGCTGATTTTAATATTTCTGGTAGAACTTTTTTTTATAATATTAAACAAATTGGAAAATGGTTCTTGTTATCCTGTAATTCATATACGACACAATACTGATTTCATTTTGATTATTAATTTCATTATATTGTTTGAAGTGCGGTTCCAAATTTTTCGCAAAGGTTAAGAAAAAAAGAAGTCATTATTTTGAAATGGTACGAAAAAGAACTCAAAACTAGAGCTCACCTTTGGCTAAACTTGATAAGTTCATGTTTTATTTCTCCCATTTCAGCGTTCCTTTGCATTAATTCTTCTTTGGTATTGCTCTCATTTAAAATTTTTTCGTAATTCTTTTCCAGTGTTGATACCTCCATATGCATTATATCTATCTCATTCTCATGTTCTTTCTGAAAGCTAATGTATGTAATGAATTGGAAAGTAAATTTCTCTTGATAATATTGAAAGAATAAACCCTATAGCACAGGAAGTTGTTCTAGTCTCATCTATTCTGAACAACCTTTATAAATTGAGGGCAATGAAACCGTCGAGCATGTGTTACAAAGTTTTGCTAAGCATGTTTGAAAATTTCTAACCATACTTCTAGACCATAATTTCGAAGATAACACGAAGGAAAGTGTCTGAACAACTTTCATACCTTTAAATGATCTATTATTTGTCGTTCCGTTGCTAATTCGTCAACAAGTTTTTCATTTCGATTTTCAGCTCCTTCCATTGCTTTTTGCCTGCTGCTCTTTAACCCTTCTAGTTCATCTTGAAGCTGTTTGTTTGATTTCATAGTCGCTTCCAAGTCCTGAAATACTACGCACCAGATATTACTGAGAAATTTTTATCTCAATAGTTCCAAAGTTCATACATAATTGAATGATAGTTTGTTCCTGGATAATTTACTTTTTTGAGCACAGCTATAACTTCTTCTTTGCTTCTGATTTCATTAATTTCTTGTTGATGTCTTTCTTTGCTGGCTTCAATAGAAACAGATAATTTTTCCATTCGTTGCCGGTACCTTTCTTTCATATCATCCAAAACTGATTTCAAATGTAACTTTTCCTAAAAATTTGCTAATAAACCACAAGTCTATTTAAATTGAAATTGAGATTGCTGTATTTACTTATATAATCACCTATTTCAGGAAATAATGCATAAAAGACTAAGCAATAAAGCACATACTCTAACAATCAGCGTGCAAACACACACTGCGGCTAGCGTGCCTATTATAAAATACGAAACAAACCGCAGTGAGCTGTTCCACTTGAATACCCAAATTCTCATTCTTTCGATCATGTTCCATTACAGCTGCCACTTTTTGCATTTCCCGTTCCTCGATGGCTAACTGCATCTGTTCTTCTTGCTCTTTAAATTTCAAAGCCCACTGCTCATCCTGCAACAGCAGAATATTCATAAATGCAGAAACTTTTACTGTGAGATTATTTCAAATAATTCATGTTAAAAGAGATAGGTAAGATTTCGAAACGGAGAAAATCAGATCCAATAAATTCACTTTGCTTACGACTCTAATTATGCTGAAGTAAACCAACTATTACCAGAACTAAATTTAATTAATTAGGTGTATATACTCACTGGAGAGATAAACATACATTTTTCGCAATCATTTCCTGAAAAAGTTGCTCGTCCCGTTCTCTTTCCTCAGCCCGCTTTCTTTCCATTTCCCTCCTTAACTCTTGTCTTTTTTCCTCTTCTTCATATCGTACTGCTTTAACACCTTGTTGCTTCGCTTCCGATAACTTCTCTACCATATCTGCTTTTTCGCTTTCCAGTGCATCTACAGCTGCCTTCAGCTCATCAATTTGTTTTTGTGCTTCTATCCCTAAAAAAAAATTAATCGCCTTTTTTGAAGCTGTTTTCACATAACAATATTTTTTTATCAAATATGAAATCAATATCAATATCCTTTCGGTCGATATTCTTTTTCAATATTTTTTTCCTTTTTTACCAAATATGAAGTAGGATTATCTCCTTTTAACTTCTTGCTGATACGAGAAGTTCAGACGTTTGATTTTGTTGATAAGTATACGAAATGTATACGGAAAGATAATTTATCTTCTCAATTTGTCTAAAGCAGTGTTCCAACAAAATGTAATTAGAAGAGGTGTACTGAGAGCATAAAAAACGGAACTGAGAATATACTTATAATAGAAATGAAAAAGCAAAAAAAAACTTCAGTTCCTAACCATTCCTATAAAAATGAAAAATTTCTTGTTCTATGTTTTTTGCTCTCAAGTTTACAACAGATCTCTGAATGCTCAAAAACAGAAAACTAAGGAATGCCAGTTGTCTATATCAAAAGTTAAATTTCCATTCTCTGAAAGATAGTCATTATTCGAGCAGAGAAATAAGGAATTGAAAAACTAACTTTAATAAACCATACAACAAAAATACGAACCATTTAATTCCAGAGCTTTGCATCTGGTCCGAGTCACCTGTAGTTCACCGTCTTTCTCCTCTAAAGCTCTATGCATTTCTGCCTTCACCTTGGCTATTGCAAGTGTACTGCTGCAATATTAATAGCCATTATTACAACAATATTATAGCACGATCTATACCAGCTGCTTACTCAATGTGAATAACAACACTAACGCTTCTTCGGAATCAGAAAGACGTTTAGACCATTCTTCCTCCAGACAGTCCACACGACCTTTCCATTCAGCAGTAACTCGTCGGAGGGCCAAATCGCTGGTTTCCTGCTGCAACATTTTAAACAATTTGTTTTCAATTTCTTTTCGAAATAATAATCAATAATACAAAATTTACAACACATTAAATCAAAATCATAATCACTCTACTCCTACCATAAAATAATCCTAGTGAGCTTGACACTTATCACTCTTAATCAAGACGGACGTAGCTTTTTAAAGCATATATCTTTGTCAGAAAAAAAGGAAAGTTTGAAAAAAATCACTACATCAACCATTGGAAAGCTTTACCCTTAAAAAATTGCTACCTCTTCCATCCATCTTTCTTTTGCATTGAAATGAAAACTAAAAAATTTAGTTCAGTTGTTTTAATATCAAAACATGTATACTAATCTAAAATTTCAATTATATATAGTAAGTAGTAATGAAAGATATTCTGAATAACTTTGTAAAAGGAGCTTACTTCGTCATAAAATGTTTCAATATCTTTTTTAAGTCTCTCATTTTCTTCCGTTAGTTGTCGAATTCTTTCCTTTTTTCCTTCATGCTTAAGGTACACTTTTCCACCAGTTCTTGCAATTTCTTCACTTTACCTTCTTCCACTTCGCTTTCTTTGGTTTCCTATAAACAGTTTTGCATCATCCTTCCCCACGCACAATATGCACTATTCAGTTCAAAGCTCTATTAATTTAACACAATAGTTCACACAACAGAAATTAAATTTACACAACATCTGAAATAATCAGAAATTGATAAAGTGAATAAAACAGAGTTTCTTCACTGTCAGTGTTCTTTTAAGCGATATTAGTCGGATATTCATGCCTTATTTTTCCTATCAAGCTCCATTTCTTGCATTTTTTCTGTTAGCTCTCGATTTTTTTCTCGTAATTTACCAATTCTGTCAAGTGCTTTATCTTGCGTGGTTGCTAACACAGACTGTAACAAAGAAATTCATGATTTTTGTTAAATGAAATAATCATTTTATCAAATTTAATTGTGAAGAAATTTTTTCCGATTTCCTTTACGCAGTTATATTGAAGCTTTACCTGTATTCCATATATTACAAAGTAAAATACTAATAGATAAATTTTTTTTTCTCACAGAGTAATATGTAAGTATCTGTGATTTTTAATTTCAGCGCTAATAAGCAGAAAAGTGGACGATTTCACCCGATACTTTTCGTTCTCGCGAATTAATTCATTGTACATTTGTATAAGCCTTCGATATTTATCCTTATAACTTGCCGCACGACCTTGCAATTTATGTAGAACAGTCGAAATCTACAATCAATTATAACTTCTCTCTTTGTTTATGTATGATCCGACAGTAAGAAAATGAGGAGAATTCCAGTTCAAACATCGCTTTTCGGTAAAACTGGATTATATTAACATTGATTGACAAATCCAGGTATCATTACTACCATGCTCAAAGAAGGTTGTATTTCTGGTCAAGGTTTTTGAAATTTCTTTCATGCTTTCTAAAATAGAGAGAAAAAAGAAAACTTGATTTTATGAAACCTGTTCTTTCGAAGCACTTTGAAACTGGGACGAGGTAGCCACACTTTCGCTCTCCACATCTGATGTTATTATGTTCAGCCGATAACCGGAACTTAACATCCCCGGTATAGCAGAAAATAAATTACTAAATGAGCTGAAATGTATCAGCTCAATGATTTAATCAGTTATATGTGTGAGCATTACGATTACCTTCTGACACTATTTGCATGTTAAATCTGATACACTATAAATCTTCAGCAAAGACGTGGAGGTGAAAAAATGCGAAAAAGAAACTTGTTTTTTCAATTCATTTATAGCAAGATTTATCTATCATATGGATGGTGCGGCATGCCACAATAAAATAATAACTACCTTTCGCTTTCGAAAGACCCGTTTGAACTGTGTCGTTGTCGTGACTCATGGGACAAATCGTGTTCCGATATTTCCTGCATCATAGCTGAACTATTCGGATTTTGCTCATTCTAGAAAACTTCCATTACTCTCCATCTTTCCTTCAAAAATATGAAAAAATGAGTGACACTACCAGTTGTCTTGTATCGAAATCATTTCCAGATTTATCACCGGAAAGATTAGGAGTATAGAATGAATTCTTCACAGAACCACTGCTGAACAACTGTCGTGCCTGTCTATCCGTATCACTTCCAACGTCGTTCTACAAAACACTTTTCCAATGAAGAAATTTTAAAAAAGTATTAATAGTTCTCACCTGCACTTATAATTATAGAAATATCTTACCACACTGGACCGTACTTGTTGGGCAATATTTTCGCTGTATTGTGATACTGTTGCTTGTAACCTTTTCGCTTCATCTTCCAACTTTGATTTCAATCCTTTGAACATGTTCACCTTCCCACCTCAAGAAAAATAATGTAGAAAGGTACACTTCATGCGTGACAGCATGAATTCATATTTTCAATACAGCAGTGATGCACAGCCGATTCTAATAATTTCAGCAAATGACTTTTTCACCTAAGCACCTTCCCCTGCTTCAGTTGACTTCTCTGGTTCCTAGCACCAAACAAGACTAAAGTTCCAACCTGCACGTTGCACGAATCACTCCTCTCTCCAGTTGTACCTGACACGTGATAACAAAATACACGAACAGTATTTGCAGTACGCGCTGTCGTATAATTTATTACAATAATGATTGAAGTATCTATACTAATTTATTTCTACATTAAAACGAATGCAACTGCGCTGCAGAACTCCAATTAAGTTTAACTACTGATTTTCCATCACCTAGGCTTTTTCATCAAAGTACTTCTTCATACAAAATATAGAAGCATTCAAGAAAATGAACTCTTGTAATTAAACATATGGAGAAAATATTACTGTTTATTATTATTATTAAGGAGCATTTACAATATCGCACAACAATAACAACGTAAGATCCGTACAACCAAGATTAATAACTTCATTTTGAAATTCAAGTGGTATACAGGGTGGATTTGATCACTGTGCAACACTGGTACAAAAACAGCGCTCTGCTGCGCAAAGATCTAACAATATCAAAGGAATACTGTGGAACAATTGAAGTTCAAACAATTGTGCATCCATTTTCAGAATGTATGAACATTACGATAGATCATTAATCTCTGCTTTTCCCACTCTTACCACAGGTCGCATCAGTAATATTACTGGACACTTTCAAGTGATATCTTGTAATTTCTTCGATTGTTTGCTTAGCTAGATAACACATGTTGAACAAATTATCGATCGACTTCTGAAGGTATTTCGCATCCAAACTCACGATCTCGCTAAAACTTCAAAATTTATAACTTTATGTATATTAATCTTCTCCACGAACATCCCCATGTCGTGAGGGAAAAGCTGCGTGTTTTTGAAGTTGAGAGCTATGTTAGCCGTGACATATGCTTCTGGTAGGGTGTCCATGCTAGGCAGGTCTCAACTGACGGGTCAGACAAAGTGTCTCAACAGGCAGATGGGCTCGCTCGGCAGAATCCTTGAAGGAAGACAACTCTAATTCTAAACTCCGACAGATGGAGCTCGTTTACCCCTATAAGGCTATCCACCTAGCAAAAAGATATTCTAACAAAACCCATGTCCTGAGGATCATCGTTCTAACTCGTTAAGCACCTGCAGATGGACATACCGTGGAGGCAGTTCCGCACATGCCATTCCCAAAATCCACTATGCAGGTCCGAAGGATTCACTCAGATTTATAGTGTTTTCAATTCTTTTTTTTTCAGTTCCTGTTTTCAGTTATTCAGATGTTTTCAGTAAGCGTGAATAGAGCTCTTCCCAAACCTTTGTTGGCGAAGTCCAACCATGAGATATATTTGTAATACCATGAGAAATGAAAAAGGGATATCTGAGGACAATCAGAAGGAGATCAGGTTCGCTACAGTGACAAAAACGTATCATGAGAGATCAAAATTTTAAATCAAGGAAGAACTGAGCACATCAACTTACATGACCAAATGATGTCCTCGCACAGTGTATGTTCGTTTGGCTGTACTCCTCAGTGGTTCTTTGTCGACTGCTAAAGTTCTACAAATTATTTGCGCCTTCTCTTCATTTTCTAAATCAATGTGCAGTATCCTGGAACAATCAATATTTAAGGCAATCTTAATTACTGCCTAGTTTCCTTCGAATTTAAGAAAAAAACTCAAGTATATAAAGTACATTGCACGACATGAAACAGAAAACATGGAAGACAGAATTCAGAACTAACGCCTTGTGGTTTTCACGAGCATTCCTTGATTCTAGCGTATTTCCGTTATCAGAATCCTCCCAAACATTTATAACTTCGTGTTCATCGTCGTTCGTCATAGAACTCCAAAAAAAAGAATGACAAAAAAAAATTATATTTATACATATTCAGATGTGATGATACCTAACTTTAAAACACATTCATCAAATAGGCACCCCATTAAAAGTCAGTTAAATAGTTGCTATCTACTGCAACGAGTTCTATATCATTAAGGTTAGGAAGAAATAAAGTAAGAAAACATCAACTGATAATTTCACCGGTTCCTCCATATTACTTCTAGACCATTCTGTGGTGCTGCAAATAAGTAAAATCGTGAACGTGAATGCTGAGTGATAATGAACGTGGGGAATCCACACTCTATAAATGGATTGAGACTCGACGGAGGATTGAAGAATTCGTCGGGTTTTAGTTTTCGGAAACACTATTCCGGGTTCATATCTCAACCAGTGATCACTACTCTATGATAGGCTATCTGACACATACGTGTAACAGACTACCGGGAAAACGAAGAGGGAAACTACCTTGAGTGTACACTACCATAAATTTGACCAACAAACCGATAGTTGGTTTCTGATGGACTTTACTGCGGTCCGTTATTTTGATGTGAACATTTTCTCTCCCTATTTCTAGTGGTTGTGTTTTCAGGAGCTGGGTAGGCAAGGAGTAATAAGTTGTCTAGAAGGTCTATTCGTCATTTGCTTTGAATTCGCGAAAACTAAACTGCAATACATGAACTTGAGAGTGACATGGAACCGAAGAGCTTGTTTATTGACTGTATTGTACTACAGTAACACTTGTAAAAAGCACTTTACCAACACATCGATAAGATTACACTATGTTACTCCTTTGTGATAACATCTATCAGATTATGAAGTTGGTGCATCGTCCCATGATAGTGATGCTACTTTTCACCGCAGACCATCTTGTATGCAGGAAATTCAGAAGGCAAAACATCGAACGGTTACGCTCACTTACCCTAATAACTGAGGGAGATAGAACACTTTCACCTTAGCTATTTCGGCCCTCTTTCTTTAAAGCTTTCCAAAATTTGTGCAAGTCTTAGGTTTGTTTTTGATTTTTTTTTTTAAATAGGGTCGGCATGTGATGTTCTCTCTTCCTTCCGTACATCAAAAAGAATGGAAATTCAGTTGGAATTTTTGACAAAGTCTGAAAAGGTTTCAAATTTTATTGTTGAAGCTTCTCCGGTCTTCTGTTGATATTATGGTTATTACCGTCAAGATTTGTTGACAATATATATATATATATATATATATAGCGTCGTTCCTTTTTGTGTTCAGCGGAGGAAGTCTA